ATTGGTAATTCAGTTAATATAAAAACTCTCCTCAAGGCGGGCACTGAAGTGTCAATGTATCATCCGCTTATGCCCTTCATTTGGAGGTTAGGTATTACAGAGGCAGGAAAGTGACAGCGAAGAAGGACCTTTTAGCGATTTAACGCAAGTGAAGATAAAGAGTCCAAAGGCTACTTCTACTCCAGATTACTGCAGTCGAAGTGGTGCTCGGATATGAAGAACTGTGTTGAGGAGTTGATCTAAAAGAGAGTCGAGACGCTCTAGTAGTGCTGACCACCAAGTTAGTGTAATCACTTCCTTTGTCCAGATCTTAAACAACTCTCCACTAGCTCTTACTTATTTTGTCCTTTACTTCAATTGTTTCCCTCCCGTCGTAGTTGTGGCTAATCGTTCTCACAACACTTCTTTTTCCAAATGCAATCAATCAGCTAGGCACTTTTTATCCCTTCAAACATCTCTTCTCCTTGAGTAGGCATTAAATTCTATAGTCCAATTGCCTCATAAATAAACAGTGGACATTTTCACCATCACATCTTGTTTGCTGATCTGGCCTAATGCAGTACAGTGTTGTGAGGTTTCTGGGTACATGAAAGCTGTTTTCTTAGGTCCGATCTTCTCAAAAAATGCAATAATCTTTACAAGTATAAAAGGCGTCTAATTGCTCTAGCAGAGAAGGACTGCAATGCTGCAAGCATGAGCAGAACCCCATGATGTCAACAAATTATGTCCAACTCATGCAGACTGCCGATCTAAAGTAGTTAATAGTAAAATGGGAACAAATATGGACTCTCCTTTCATTCGGGGTGAGTTATTTATGCAACACATTTTTACATTCTTTCTTGTTTATTTATTAATGAATTTCCACTCTTTTAACCAATCAGGTTGCGATGATAAAGATGAAGCTGATTGGATATGCGGGTGGCCATTCAGTCTTAATCACATTAGGTCAAGGTTTCATTTGATTGTTGACCTATGCTACCTTTTGTTTGGTCAAGTTAGCTGTAATCAAGCCGCAATTCTTGTGTTTTTTTGACTATTTTATATTTCATTGTAAATCGATTCTGCACAATGGTGGACCCAATTAACAGAAGGAGCAGCCTTCAATCATTCGGATCAAGGCAATCACCTGGTCCAAGGCTCATCGTGGAGGCAAAGGCTGGAAACTCAAAGACTCCCTCATCAGGTAAACATAATTAAATTGACTTTTTCTGCATTACATATCTTTAATGTGCTTCTTTGTTCACAAAATTATGGCAACCTTCAAGACCTTGGTGTTGTGGGTACCGAAGTTTAATTTCTCTCAAAGACCTCATCGGGATAGGGGAACTGTATTGAAAAGCTTCATGCCATTGTTGATTACTCAAGCTTAGATAGACCTGTCTTTACTTCTGGAGTTTGTTAGCAAGATTTATATATTTCTTGCAGATCAGGCGTCCGAAACCGATGGATCGAGCCGAACGCAGGAAAGCCAAGGCACTGCATCAACTACAACCAAGCACACTTCTATAATTTGTGATAAACCGAAATCCCAACTTCCATCCACCTCTGCCATAAAGCATATTTGCGATTCTGAAAATTTAGTCCAAGAAGACCATAAACCGGATGAGGAAAAGGCTAGTGAGCAGTTCTATGCCAATTACCTATTCAAACTCCTCGAAGTAATGCGAAGAAGTTATGAAAGTCAACCAAGTTTTCCCATCTCCAACACACAACCTTCTGTAATGAGTGGAGATTTAGCATTCCAACCTCCAGGTAGGAGCCTTAGTCCCAATTACACTTCTAAGAAAGAGAGTGGACCTCCAATCTCCGAGGAGTACCTTCAAGCATATAATTACTTTATGTTTATATTATGGCAAGGGATGCACCGAAACCCTGATTCTGAAAATACATCCCCACAAAGTCATCATTCCAGTGGAACTTCAGTCGATCAGCTACACTCAGATGCTAATTTAACTAGATCGGAGGACAGGTCTAAACTCCGACAACAAACGCGGGGGCAATGTGGCACTCGACCGACACAACCGAGAATGAGTAAGCAGCCTTCTGCTACCTATCAAAGCCTGGAATTTGGGTGCGACAACTCTGCAACCCAATATAGTCCTGCAGATGAGGCCTCGAAACACCACGAAGAGTCTGATTCTCGGAGGGAAAGTGGGCGTCGAAGCCGAACAGTCTTCACTATGCGACAACTCAGTTTCCTAGAGCGTGTATTCCAGGAGAATAGGTTTCCAAATATTGACACAAGATGTAGGTTGGCACAACTACTTGATCTCGACGAATCTCGAGTTAATGTGAGTCTCCATTCGATTAATTTAGTAAGCTTTATCTCAAATTGAGACGATACTAAGGAGACATCAATTGCGGTAAATTCTTTTATCCAGCAATCATTTTAAGTTTGGCTTAGTGAGCTAATTTAGGCAT